AAAAAAAAAAGGGGGGGGGGGGGAGGGGAGGTCCTGGCCTGGTCGTGGTGAAGCGGAGCTGCTGCAGCCCTGCCTCCTCCAGGGAGCGTCGGGATCAGAAGAATCGCCTAAGCCCAGGAGTTGGAGGTTGCTGGAGCAACTCCGCTGCACTCTACCAAGGGTGACATAGTGAGACTCTGTCTCAAGAAATAAAAAAGGGGGGGGGGTCTAGGCTCAGTGGTCAGGGCACTGGCCACATACATACACCAGGCCTGGTGGGTTCAAACCCAGCCTAGGGCTGGTAAACAGTAATGACAACTACAACCAAAAAATAGCTGGGCATTGTGGCAGGTGCCTGTATTCCAGCTACTTGGGAGGCTGAAGCAAGAGAATCGCTCAAGCCCAAGAGTTTAAGGTTGCTGTGAGCTGTGATGTCACAGCACTCTACCAAGGGTAACAGTGAGATTCTGTCTCAAAAAAAAAAAGAAATAAGGTCTAGGTGGGGCATGGTGGCTCATGCCTGTAATCCTAGCACTATGGAAGGCCAAGGCAGGTGGATTGCTTGAGCTCACAAGTTGGAGGACAGCCTGGGCCAGAGCAAGACCCTGTCCCTACCAAAAATAAACTGAGGTAAGAAGATCTCTTCAGCCCAAGTTTGGAGGTTGCTGTGAGCTAGGACACTATAGCACTCTACCAAGGGCTATAGCTTGAGACTGTCTCAAAAGAAAAGAAATGGGGTCTAGGCTGGGCACTATGGCTCACACCTGTAATCCTAGCACTCGGGGAGGCCAAGGCGGCTGTATTGCCTGAGTTCAAGGGCTTGAGACCAGCCTGAGCAAGAGGGAGACCCTGTCTCTAAAAAATAGCTAAGCATTGTGGTGGGCTCCTGTAGTCCCAGCTCCTTGGGAGGCTAAGGCCAGAGAATTGTTTGAGACTGCTATGAGAGCTGTGATGCAACGGCACTCTACTGATGTTGCCAAAATGAAACTCTGTCTCAAAAAAATTAAAAAAAGATAGGCGGTACCTGTTGCTCAGTAGGTAGGGTGCCGGCCCCATATACCGGGGGTGGCGGGTTCAAACCCAGCCCCAGCCAAACTGTAACAGAAAATAGCCAGGCATTGTGGGTGGCTGTTGTCCGAGCTACTCGGGAGACTGAGGCAAGAGAATCGCCTAAGCCCAGGAGTTGGAGCTGTGAGCTGTGTGACACCATGGCACTCTACCAAGGGCGATAAAGTAAAACTCTCTCTACAAAAAAAAAAGTAGCTGTGCTCCCCAGGCTGGTCATGGCACCTGGCCATTAGGATTTTTTTTTTTTTTTTTGAGACAGAGTCTCACTATGTCCCCCTCAGTAGGGCGCTATGGTCTCACAGCTCACAGCAACCACAGATTCTTAGGCTTAAGCGATTCTTTTGCCTCAGCCTCTTAAGTAGTTGGGACTACAGGCACTCACCACAATGCCCAGCTATTTTTTTTGTTGCAGTTGTCACTGTTTTAGTTGGCCCATGCGGTTTCGGACCCACCAGCCTCAGTGCATGTGGCCAGCACCATAACCACCTGTAGGAATTCTTAAAACCAGAATTCCAGGCTCGGCGCCTATAGCTCAACGGGCTAAGGCGCCAGCCACGTACACCTAAGGTGGCGGGTT